AAAAAAAGACCCCCACCCAAGCCACTACAAGTTTGGGATGCACCTAGTAGTATGACATTTATTAGGAATAAAGACTTCTGAGTTCTGGTGCATTTGTGCGTGCGGGGGTCATTATGTTACCACTATGCGGTATCTAGTTGGTTATGGGACTGCCGTTAGCATCAGTGACAAGATTAATTTGGTCCAAGGATCGTCCCGTGTCTTCACAGACATCCAACTGGGCCCTGCATGTAAGGGCCAGTGAAATTTATTGATCTATCATTTGAAGTTTTGGTCCATAACCCTCAGGATCTTGTCTTACTGCGTCCAACCTCAGCAACAATGGCACGCTGTGAGAGGCCTTGCTTATACAGCTCAACAATCTGACCGTGTTCAAAGAGAGAGAGGTCATGGCACAGTGGATACCCGACAGAAAATGACACTGAATCCAGATTTTTGCAAAGATTTGGGCTTTTAAATCTTAAACCTTTGATTGGCTGATGAACAGCCTATTTCAGCTTAATGGTTGTTTGAAATAAAATGCTTACTCAGATGATTTTTTCTCCCATTTCTTCTTTTTGCATTTCAAAGTTCTATTTAGAACTTAAAATCTTAAGATTCATCAGTGAAAGATATAAATTCTTGCCATTTTTCAGCTGGTCTTAAAATTGTGATCAAGAGTTTATACTAAGCTCCGTCCAGCGGAATATGGTCCTAACTGTTAACAGAGTTTCCTCTTTGCTTTGTAACTTGCTAAATTTCTTACCCACTTTAACAAGGCTTTCATTAAATTGTCTTGTTTTTGTCCTACTGTACAGATATCAAGGATAATGCGTTCAGCCGCTCCAGGAGTTCCAGTGTAACCAGCATAGACAGAGAATCACGGGAGGCCATCTCCTCTTTTTACTTCTGTGAGAGTTTCCCCAGGAAGTCAGACATCCTGGTCACCCCCTGTCTGCTACTGGGGACCACCCAGGGCTCTGTGATGATGCTGGCTCTCAGTCTGCCACCAGATGGAGACCAGAGGCAGCCAGTCAGCTTCTCCTCCTGTGGTAAGACCTGATCCATCTTCTGACAAGTTCTGCTGCTCAAACAGTCCTCCTGCTGACCTGTTCATGTTCCAGAGATTTCGAGAAAGGGAAAGAGCTAGCTGTACAAAATTTGCACGTCTTACATGTGAAAGGATGTGTAACAATATGGCTTGGTTAAAACATCCCAACCAGCCTGTAAAAAGATCGCAAAAAATCAATATTTTTTACAGGCTGGTTAAGGATGTTTTGCACTGTTTTGCATCAATCTAAAATGTTGGTTTTAGTTAGAAATTACTTCCTGAATCAGTCAAAAGAGGGCAATTTGGATCTTCTTTGAGTCTTATGGATAATTCTTTGATATTTTTTATGGCCCCTGAGAAAAACAGAGTGTAAATCTTTGGTAATATCAATAGGCTTGGCATCTTTAGTCCTGGAGTAGAACCAAGATGGGCCTGATTAGAATGAGTCAGGGAGTCTGTCACCATTTGGTCCCAAAGTCATCCTCTTTCTGACAACGACCACCAGATGTGCTTTTGGACTCTTCAGACTTGTTGATCTTTGTTGCTTGTGAAAAGAGTGTTTTTTCTTTCTTTCTTTCTTTCTGTTTCTTTTGTAGAAATGTGGTCTTTTAGGTGTAAAACAGAGTCTTGTAAATAGAACACGAGCCCCTGCTAGATTGTCGCAAAAATTTTTATTTTTTGTGCAATGAAGTAGTTATTGACACCACAAAGGCAACCTCTAAAATAAAACTGTTTTTTTAATGAGAACAAATGTTTTTTTATTGTTTTTAGTTATATTAAGGCTGTTTCTAATGAAATCCTTGATTTTTTTTTTCAGGCACCTTAGTCAGACTTAAAGGAGGGATTTTGACTATGGCCCTCCTTGATGCTAATGGAGCTCTGCTGCCCTCTTCCTTTGACCCTTGGTTTGAATTGAATGCCTCAGATGAAGACAAAGAGAAGGGCCGGAGGCGCAGGCCAGCCTCTCCTCTGTCATCACAGGAAGGCCAGTACTCTCAGTTTGCTGTGTTGTGTTCAGAGAAACAGGCCAAGGTGGTGGCCATGCCCTCCCAGACCTGCGTCTACAAACACAACATCACAGAGACGTCTTTTGTTCTGAGGGCTGATGTTGTGCAGATGGCCGGGGCTTACTGCATTGCCTGTTTCTGTGCAAACGGCCACATTATGACTCTCAGGTATTTCTATTTAATGTTCTTTCTGTTTAGTTGATCAGTCCCTGTGAGCTCAACATTTTTGCCAAACAAACGTCTGGATATTATGGCTTTGAACCTGTATGTTCTGTTTGTATGATCCCAGTTTGCCCAGTCTACGGCCTCTGCTGGATGTCAACTACCTGCCGCTCACAGACATGCGGATAGCAAGAACATTTTGCTTTTCTAACTTAGGTCAGGCTCTATACCTGACCTCCCCCACTGAGATCCAGAGAATCACCTACAGCCAGGAGACGTGTGACAACCTACAGGTCAGATAACTGACAGCCTGTTCATCTGATCCACACTCACTGACACAAACATCAGTGTCTCACTGACTTATGACTGTTGGAGACGAGACAGCAACTTAAAAGAGATAATTTTGAGAAAATCAAATCAGCATGGTTTTTAGTCCAAGTTTTCTGTAAGTGGAGAGCTTCAGAGCAGGTGTCTAATCTAAATACAGCTGCTGTTCCTGAGCAGGGTTGTGACTCCCACAACAATAACCAGATATTATGGAGATATGGAAGCTAGGGCTGGGTGATATGGCAAAAAAATTATCACGATTAATTTTTTCATATCGTCCGATCTCTATTAATAGTAAGGAATAGTATTAATATCACAATTTTTTTGTTGACTGAAAAATAATTTAACAAATAAATAGCTGCAGAAATAAAAAAATAATGGCTGATATTTCACTTTCACTAATATAACAAATAGCTGTGGTTCAGTAGAACATGAAATTACTTTTGCAAGGTATATAAGAAGGTATTTACCAAGAAAAAAACTTACGTGTAAATCATAGAATCTGGCATTAATAAAGTTATCCTTTTGTAAAATTAAAGTTTTAGAAATGAATTTCACATTAAATATGTCATAAAGAAACATAAACCCTACAAACAACAACAATTTGTGCACACTTTGAATAGGATCGAAGCTCATTGCTTTTGTAATGGAAGGAACCAGGAGTTTGTAGCATCTCAGCTGCTGTTTGTGATGCGACTCAGACAGGAAGTGGTCTTCACGTCTCGTCCAGCCCATCGTGTGCTGACAGAACTTACAGAAAAGTTCTCCAGATAAAGGAAGAACCGCTGGGACATTGTTCCGTCCTAAACATTACACTAAGACTGCTTCATATTTTTGAAGGACACTTTTATTTTGGCGAGCCGTGCTCACTTTTCTTTTTTCCCTCTCTCTCTGTGTGTCAGAATGGAACACCTCGCGTGTCTGTTAGCAGGTAACAGCAGGTACAGGAAGTGACAGCAGCCAAAATACCTCAGAAACTCGCCCAAATAAGCAAACTCTGTGAGATTCAGCATTTTATGCTGGATTACTTGGATTAATTCTGCGACTCCATCTGTGTTTCTTTAGCAACTTATAAACAGAAGTGTAGCAGGAGAAGGTAGATTCTGATTGGCTGTTGTCAAACACATTTCCGACATGTTTGATGGAGGAAGAGGCTCACAGCTGATCACCGTGATCGACCTGAATTTTTGTCTCGATCAATAATCGCGATCAAATAATCGCCCAGCCCTAATGGAGGCAACGACTCTAAGACCACATTGAGAAAAAATTGTCACAGATTCGTTGAACATGTTCATGAGAGACTTGAGACAAGACTCAAGTTTGTCATAACTCAGAGTGGTGCAGAACCAGATCAACAGGGGCCTCATACACAAAGACCTGTGGACGGTTTGTCCACCATGTGGAGGCAGTGCTTATAACCAGGGTTGCACATAAAAGTTTTGGTCTGGTTCTCAGGAGAGAACCTAGGGTTGTTGCTTGGTGATCACTCATATTTTCCTTCACTCATTTAACATATTTATCTAGAGGGGCGTCAGAGCATCTAACGTCCCCCTGTTCTGTTTTTTGACTTCTATCAGCTGCATCGTCTCAGGACATCATGCCAAATCAGTCCAACGAGGTTTATAATTTATTCTTTTACTCTGCATAAATTTTGTAAACTACCTAAGTGGCCGAGGGGCTGGGTGTATGTCATATAAACATCACAAACTGAACATTTCATGGTTAAATGTCTTTTAGACTAACATGTCCTTCAGATGGACAACTCCTGTTTGGTCTTCTGGATCTTTGGCCTTGGTTAAAGCAGCTTTCCACACTCTCCAGTCCAACCAGCAAATACTGTATCTGTCTTTTGCACAGAGCAAAATAACTTAAAACATACAAATGTTTTATTTGTTAGACTGATTTATTTTTTAAAAGACTATTTTATTCAAAAATATTACGTTATTTAGATGGTTTCATCTCATGTAATTATTTATTCTTCGTATTTGATCGTTAAATAAATTACATTTATCCCAGAAAAGCTGTATCACAG